GGGAGGCTGAGGCAGGAGGATCGCTTGAGCCCAGGAGTTGGAGGTCGCTGTGAGCAAGGCTGACGCCACGGCACTCTAGTCTGGGCGACAGAGCGAGACTCTGCCTCAAAAAAAAAAAAAACAAAAAAGTAGGCTTGTTTTAGCTACACGCCCTTTGTGCCACGTGCTTGTATCATTGCATCATTTTTTTCTAAAAACAATGCAAGTTCTAAAGCTCTCTCCAAATATTTAAGTGTAGTTAAATGGGTTTGGAAAAGTGATCCCCAAAGGAATTACAGTGGCTTCATCTGTAGAGATGGAAGGGTCCAGAATGCAGGAGAGAGGGCTGGTTAAGGGGACTCTTGCCTCGTTTGTAAGTAGCATGTATTATCTGGGTAATTAAAAATTAAACGAACGGTACAACATCCTAGGAGGGCATTTTGGCAGAACCCATCCAGACTGAAAACACGCACGCCCTTTGCCCCGGCCGCTTCGGTTCCAGGAGCTTCCCTGCGGACACACTAGCACACGTGCCAAAGGTTTCTGTTCCAGAATATTCGCTGCAGCGTGGTTAGCAAACACTGGGAACGACATACAGGGCCATCGTTTGAGAAGAGGTCAGCGAAGAAAATGTTGGCACGAGCGTACGACGGAATTCTGCGCAAGCTTTAAAAAGAATGACGAGGTCTTTCTCCGCTCCTGAGACCGACCGGTTCTACGTTTTCTGGAACGTGTAAAAAGTCAATCAATCAATCAAATAAAAAGAATGACGGACGTAGCTTTTACGTAACATATATGGACACAGTGCAATCGCCAGACACCAATGATAAGCGAAATACTGTACAAAGGGAAGAAAAAAAGGGTGATTTATATATACATAGACACAGATATGCTCGCATTTACACGGAGCTTTTTTGTTTTTTGTTTTTTTGGAAATGAAACACACACTGGGAATAGTGGTTGGGAACAGGGACCAGGAGACCAAAAGGACAGGTTTTGAGACTTTACGTCCACTAATAATGCGCTTTGGGCTAATAAAAAAAAAAAAAAAAGGCAAGAAAGAGAGACATTATGGCCACCCTTTTTGTAGCTTTTGAGTTTCCTTCACTTGATCGT